TGTTGTAATTACTCTTTCTGTTTCATGATTAGCAACTTCAAAACAGCTTGGATAACTTTGGAGTACAGTGGGCATTGAATCCAGGAGATGGAGCGTTTTATGGTCCTAAGGTTAGTGAATTGGTATTTTAATACAACTTCAGGATGGACAACAATGTAGACAAAATGTAGGCAAACAGTATCGGGTTACTGGGTAATCTTTATTTGGAGACCTCATTGTGGCCTTCCAATGCTTGAAGGGAGCATATAAACAGGAGGGGGTATGACTGCTTACAAGGGTGGATAGTGATAGGACAAGGGGAAATGGTTTTAAACTGAGACAGGGGAGATTTGGGTTAGATATGAGGAGGAAGTTTTTCACTCAAAGGGTGATGACACACTGGAGCAGGTTGCCCGTGGAGGTTGTGGATGCCCCATCCCTCGAGGCATTCAAGGCCAGGCTGGATGTGGCTCTGGGCAGCCTGGTCTAGTGATTGGTGATCCTGCACATAGCAGGGGGTTGGAACCAGGTGATCATCGTGGTCCTTTTCAACCCAGGCCATTCTGTGATTCACAGATTGATATTAAAATCAAAGATGCTCTTGGAAGATACCATCAGTGTGCTACTATCCAACTTGACTTCCAGCTACCCATTCGCTTTAATCTTACTTACGTTGGGTGAGTGATTTAAAATACTTATTTTCTACCTTGAACAAATAGAATACTTATCTGCAATTTCCATAAACTGAGATATATTAATGCTCTGTTGCTCACTTGGCAAATTATTAGTTTGCGTCTAAGTAGCCTGCAATGGTCTATGAAGGGAAACATCTCCTGTGAGTGGAGGACTGAGTCCAGAACTTGAAGGTGTTTTCTCAGCATAACGATAGCTCGCTTTAATTGTAAATGCCATTGTTTGTGGGAAAATTTGGTGACCTATTTGTCTTGAGAAAACTGGTAAGCAACTGATTATATGGCTCAGTTCTTAATTTTAGTCTAGTCATCGTGTCTTCTTTGAGGACATTAAGGAGACGACATGTTTGCAGTAGGAAATGCTTTGTTCTTTTTGTTGGATAGAATTAGGTGACCTTGAAGGATATAAAATGAATGCAAAAAGTTTTTTAAGGGAAATGTCTCTTAGACTTCCAGCTAAGAAAAGAGACATTTTGTCATCTGAGTGTGTTAATTTTAGAACCAGGGTTGTTTTTTCTTACAATGTTTATTTTTATATAATACAAAAAGTTTGAGGGAGGTGTTGGTTATTTTTGGTTCTGCTGCATATTCTTCAGTAGACATCATAGCTCTTCAGTAGAAAATAAGATTAGAAATAGCAGCTGGCCTTTTTTTTTTTTAATAATCAGAGGTGTGTAACTTAAAGAAATGAATAATGAGGGCAGATAAAATCCTGTGCAAGAAGATGAATTCAGCTCATAGTGGAAAAGAGAGGAAGGATATAAAATATTAAATACAGAGACAGGAGCTGTCAGTTTTGGAGTTAAATTGTAGAGTGTGCTTTTTTAAACTTAAGAACTTGTGTCTATGTCACAGTCATTCTGATTACTCAGTATTCCTTTAAAAGCGTAATTCATTCTGAAGTAGATTTTCAATAGCAACTGGCAATTTTTGCTTAGTATAAACTACTGTTTTTTTTACTGTGATAAGTAAAATCAAAAGAATTAGTAGGATTGCATGTATGTAATCTAGGAGAAGTGTGGTTTTGAAACTGTCATTTTCTTTTTCAGTAAGGATGGAGATGATAAAAAGAGGCCAGTGATTATTCACAGAGCTGTTCTGGGATCTGTGGAGAGAATGATAGCTATTCTAGCAGAAAATTATGGAGGAAAATGGTACGTGACACAAATACAATTCTGAGAAATGTTAAACAACATGGTTAGGAAATATAGGTTCTCCGTAATGTCTCATACATTACCTTACAAAATGATTTCTCTAGGGTTTTCTCAACAGCAGGTGAGATGAAATGAAATCTAGTTTTACAGTTCCAGTTTTGTATTCTACTTATAGCTCATGGTTAAAAATTCTATGAGATAAGAATTGCAACTGAATGTGTGTGTGCTGCATTTTACTTCTTCCTTTTTACTGGATGATGCTTAATGTATGTAAAGTGGTTACTTACACAGACATAAATTAGCCTAGATATGTGATTATTCTTTTTTTATTTGTAAGTTGTTCTATTTCATCTCAAGTTAGCTCTGAAGATATTTCTTCTTTAATAGATTGAAGGATTAAGGAAGAGTGAATTCTCACCTTTAAATGCAGAGTCTACCCACCTAGTACTATCAAGTTATATAACAACTGAAAGCAGAAATTATGTGAAGAATTGAAATTTATTTAAATTTGTGAAATTGGTAGGAAGTGAACAGAAGGTCAGTTCTGTGTATTTTATCAGATTCAGTGTGATATTTTATGTGAATTGAAAAGTGTAAAGGTAACGTTATGCAACATTCTTAGCTTACAATTCTGTGGATATGAATGAAAATGTAGAATGCTCATTAATCTTTTTTTTTTCTTGTTGGGTTTGCCAGGCCATTCTGGCTGTCTCCACGGCAGGTCATGGTTGTGCCTGTGGGACCTACTTCTGAGGAGTATGCACGGCAGGTGAGAATACACCTTATGCAGCAAGCAATTTTAGTAGCTCCTGAAATACTCATCCTTGAGCGAGCATTAAATGCTTTAATAATATAGGAGATGCTTTTGGGTCAAGTCATTTTTTTCCATGCCCTCTAAAATTGTGTAAGCCTGAGAAAGGGAAATATAACTAAATGTTTGGGGTTTTGTTACCATGTACAAACTTCAGTAATAATTACAGGAAAAATGTTCTGAGCTATTTATCTTACATACTAACAAATGTTTCATTGTAGAATTATCCCCTTAAAGTGTAGGGGTAGACTTGATTTCTTCCATTTTCCAGGATATATACCCTTGGCTACACTGCATTTAGGCAAAGTTCTTTTTATCAACTCCCACCCCCTTTTAGTGCAAACATAAATGGTTCTCTTCCTTTTCTTCTTTCCATGGCTGAGGCATTTTGGCATTCAGCAGTGTAGCTGTCTGAGAGGATCAGCAAATGTTTGATATGGATGTTAACTTGTATTTCTTCTAACAAGGAATTGCTAAGCATTAAGGTCCTGTCAAGCTCTTTAGGCTATGTGCAGTTTTCTTAAAATAATTTTGACTTCATTAATACAGCTGTTCATAAGAGCTAAATTAGTTACATTTATAAATTATTTATTGGATGGTATCTTGTAAAATATATGCTGTAATAGTAAATGTCTTTTTTTTAGGTTTGCACTGAGTTTTTTGAAGCAGGATTTATGTCAGATGTGGATCTAGATCAGAGCTGCACATTGAACAAGAAAATCAGAAATGCACAACTGGCTCAATATAACTTTATCTTAGGTAACTGCAGAGTCTTTCTGCATATTGTTTAAGTTCTAATGGGCATGGTTTGTCTAGGCTCACTTAATAATGTAGATAGTTTAATATTGTTTGTGATAAATCTTGCAGTGGTTGGTGAAAAGGAGAAAGCAAATCATGCTGTCAATGTGAGAACAAGAGACAACAAAGTTCATGGAGAAATTTCGGTATCTTCTGCAATTGAGAAACTCAAGAAATTTAAGAGTTTGCGTCTTCCAAATGCAGAAGAAGAATTCTGATGTTGCTACTAAGGAAGAAAAAAACCTACAGATATTAACTGCCCATGTGAAATGGTGTTGCTTTCCTTCTCTATAGCAGTAATGCTTATCTGAAAGAATTTGAAGCATGGATGCGCAAACCAAGCAAAGGTAGCAGTGTTGATTCTCCAAGTTTAGCATGAGAAAACAAATGCAGTGGGTGACTTCTTTGACGGTCCTGTGGGACTCTACTCAGTGCTGGTTGCAGAACACCTTCTTTAGGCATCCTACACTTCTGCTAAAATATGTCAGTTTTACTGTGTAAATAAATAGTGCTGTACTAGCTGAAGGAGCAGAAGGCTGGGAAATGTGCTGAGTGCAGCTGCTGAACTACCTCAGTCACACAGCAGCTGCTGAACTGACAACGGCCTGGAATCCAGAGCTTGGCTCTTGGGTTTTGCTTCTTTCTAACTCTGAATTGTCAAATACGTGTCGAATATTAGAGTAAGGGAGTAGCCTGTTCCTTCATGCTCACAACTGATAAATAAATGGTATCTGTTCGAAATCACAATGTAACAAGGTACTGAATGAGTCTATGCCTTCGGTAACTGCTTGCTGTAAAGGTGATTACCAAGAATGAAGTTGAATTAACCGCCATATCTGTGTGTGGGAAGTTTTATTTCTGCCTCTTTGTTAACTTGGCTCTCTGAAAACAAAACAAAAAAAAAATCCCACTCAACTTGCCTTTCAAAGAAATGGGCATGTGGTTTATTGCTGTGGCTGCTTGGGATACTGAGTGCTAAAACTGGATTATGTAATCTTTGTTTTGTTTTAAGTGTGTTGGAATACAAATCGGTTCTACTTATCTGATCTGATTGTGTATGCTTATAAATGATTTTTAAAGCTAATTCTGCAGGTCATTTAATTGATGTTTTTGATCTGTGATTTTTAACCATGAGTATTTTGTCACTGTTATATGCTCTGTCAACCTGTCAGGCTGTGACAGAGTACAGCCACGAGTCGGAAGTGCTGTTTGACACAGATGTTATTACAAGCACGCCAGTGCCTCCCCCTGCCTGCAGCCTGTGTCCCATGGCCCCGTGCTTTGTGCTGTGCTAGTTGAGGTTTGTGACCCAGCTTTTACCAACACAAAAAGAAAAGCAAATTGTCGGAAGGAGGATGGGGAAAGCTTTCCGCTCAGCTTTACAGAATTCATGTCAGATGAGCGGGGTAACTTTTTTCTATTTTTAACAATACGTTCTTGTCTGTAAAACTTGAGTGGGCTACATTTGCCTTCCGTGACCCGCGATGTATTCGGGCTCCAGCAGAGAGGGGCAGTAGTTTAAGATGAACTTCCCGTTTTTTCGATAGCGGGCTTTAACGCGCGTACCCGTGCTGTAGCCGTTGCAGTTTTCAGAGGACGTGCGGCATATGCTCCAACTTTATGCAGGGAGAAGCGCGTGAAGGACGGCGGCGCTGAGGCAGGCGGGAGGGAAGCAGGACCGCTGTGCGGGGTTCGGCCCCGAGCACCGCCTGCGGGCGGGCGGGCGCGCTCCGCCCCTCTCCGGGCAGCGCCGGCCGTGAGGCGGCGGCAGACAAGATGGCGGCGCCGGCGGGGCTGAGGGCGCTGCGGCGGCTCTGCGGCGTCGCGCTCTTCGTGTCGCAGCTCTACGTCCTCTCCGGCCGCGGTGAGCGCGGTGCCCAGGCTGGGGCGGGCGGTGGGGACGGGCAGGGCGGGCCCGGCGGAGCCTCGGCGCGGTGGCTGCCGCTCTCGGGGTGGTCGGGCGGGGCCGGGGCTGAGCTCAGTCGCGCGGCCCGGAGGTGGGCGGCGGAGCGGTGCCCCCTGACGCCGCCGGGCGCCACCACTGCCCGGGCGCGGCCCCGTGCCGCAGCTCCGTGTGAGGAGCGGCTGCGGTGCGCGGTGCGGAGGGAAATGAGCTTTGAGAAAACGAGGCTGAGCTGAAACTCAGCGTGTTTTGTCTGAAAGGTGCAAATCGGTTCTGCTGCTCGTCTTTAATATTTAACGTTTACATCCTGCGGTTTATAAAATGGGAAACCTGATTTATGCTTTTATTATTATTGCACTTTCCATGGTGGGTTGTTTTTTTAACCAATGTGGTGAAATCAAACCGTTCCCGATGCACTTCATTCTCAAAATACCACTTTCTCCTTTTTTCCCCCCCACAGCAGGATCTTTGATGGCCACGAAGCATTCACAGCCACAGTCCTCGTTTGCAAAAAGCCTGACTTCAACAAGCACAAACGCTCCGTACTTCAGGGCAGCAGGTACAGTGTGCTGCTGTTCCCTGTGTTTTGGCCCTGTGGGTTTTATCCTCCGAGTATTGAGGTTACCAGTAAAGCTCTTCAATTCTGTCTTAGAAACCTCTATTTTCTTGTAGAGAAGCGATGATATGATGTAGAGCATCGTATCAAGAATTCCTCTTAAATAACCATAAGAAATGATTTGTGTTATACAGTTAGAAAGCTCGTTCATATAAAATCTTAAATTGGCATTGTAGTTCATATGTTTTATGCCTATGATGGATGGTGGAAATTCTTGAGAGACTTCAGTGTTCTGCAAGAAGTTGTTACTGCTCCCAGTGCAATGTAAATACAGCTTTTGTGTACTCCTGAGGGTATGCAGAGGTAAGTGTTTCAGCCAGGGAGTAAATTAAGAGGTGATTCTGAGCACATGTGAACAATACATGTCTGTGAACAAGTCCATGCTGAGTGTTGTTGTGCTGGGATCTGTCATCCTGTGCAGAATTTCTCAAGATCCTTGCAAGTTGCTTTGCTGTGTCGTATGGCTAGTATAGATTCTGTTTGTTGCAAATAAAGGGAAGTCCTTGATATGGTATCAGTGCATATGTGTGTATTTGAATATGCACGCTTCAGGCTATATAGCTTTTTTAAATTTGAATTTTTGTGTAATTTCATTTACATATTTCATCTTTCAGAAAGTACAGAAATTCCAGCTTATGTGACGAAATGTCCAAGCAATGGACTCTGCAGTAGATTGCCACCAGACTGCATGATATGTAACACAAATTATTCTTGCATATATGGGAAGCCGGCCACTTTTGATTGCAGAGTGAAACCACATGTTCATTGTGTTGTAAGTAACCTATTATTTTTAAAACTAATTTTGAGTGGCATCTTGTCATAAAGTATCTGTGTATATTAAAAAATTTCTTACGTAAGCAGCCTGTTAGGTTATCATAGGCAGGTTACCAGTTTTGTGATTGAACTGCAGGCTGTTGGTAGAGAGTCAGGCCTACTCCTCTCTGCTTGCCTTTCTTGCATTGGATCTTGTTGTCATGCGGTCACTGATTGATTGTGTTTAATTGGTGTGCTGACCAATGAGAACTGAACCAGTTTGAGAATGGGGAGGCTAATGTCTGTCAGACGTTGAAACCAAATGAGTAAGAACAGTCAATTTAGCAGCAGCCTCATTTGGATTAGAGGAAGCAGTAGTACTAAAACTGTGTTTTAATACCTGTGTCAGTTTTATCGTGTTGACTTTTCTATGATGTGGAGGTACCAAAGAGCAATTGACGTTTTGCCCAACATTTCTATCTAGGGGATGTAGTTTGATATTGAAGGCTGACCATTTCTTGATTGCTAATGAAGTGGTAATGCTGTCCTTCTGTAGGATCAGAATAATCACGAGCAGGAGAACTTTACAATTAACATGACGTGCCAGTTTTGCTGGCAGCTTCCAACAACTGACTACGTGTGCACCAATTCTACAAACTGCATGACGGTTTCTTGTCCACGGCAGCGATACAATGCCACTTGTACAGTGCGGGATCACATCCATTGTCTGGGTAATGCGCCGTGCCGGGCTTTTTGTGAAGACTTTCTTCTAAATGACATTTTAATCTTAAGTCAGCACAATGATTGTTTATGTTGATTACAGTAACAGTCTGCACCTTGATCAATCTATTGAATGTTTTTACAGTTGCATTTTAATTTTTGTTTATAGAAGTGATGGCTAACTGCAAACCTTGTTTTTCAGGACTGTTGTATACCTTTCATGTGAGGGAAAATTGGTCTGTCTGTTTTCTTTTTGTCAACTTTTATGACTTAAACTACTTTGCACAACATTAATAGAATCAATTTCAAATGTCTCAGGAGAATAGTGGAAAAAGTCACACTGGTGTCACCCAACTAGTTTAATTTTCCCTGTTTATTTGTTCAATTACTGTTCATGTTTTCTGATGTGAGACAAAGTTTGATGGTCTACAGAGGACTGTAAAATGTAAGATTTTTCTCAAAAATTCTTGTTTCAATCAGTGCCAACCCTTTTAGTGCCTTGTTAGAGTAATACAGTGAGTTTGGCTTCATATGTCATTTTCTTACTTATTATGTGATTGTGTTGTTTTTGTTTGTTTGTTTTGTCAGTTGCATTAAGGTTGAAACCTTTTCTAACATTCAGGTAACAGAGTCTTTCCGAAGATGCTGTATTGCAACTGGACTGGAGGTTATAAGTGGTCTACTGCCCTGGCACTAAGGTACACAAGAGCTATTAGCAGAACTTAAGCTAAAATGTTCATTATTGTAAACGTATCATGCAGAAAATCTTTGTTCCATGTTATTCAGTGCAGTGGGTATTTTATAATGGTTTAGAACTTGGAGCCATACAATGACTGAAGATTCTGTATTAGCTGTTTTCAGTAGAGCTTGGAAGAAAACCTCTACCCTTCTTCTGCATTGAATGTGCTTTCTTCAGAGTAAATGCCAATGATTCTGAAGCCTTGAGTGATTCTCTAAGTAGAGGGGACGTGCTTTCTGTATTCTGTATGGTGACAGATGAGCTACTGAAATAATGTAATGAGGTACTGAAATAACAGATGAGAATGCTGAAATAATTCTGTGGACTTAGGATTGTTTGCTCCCCCTTAAATGCTTAAAGCAATTAAGGTTGAAAATCATCCAAATAACCTCTGGAATGCAGCTATTTCTGAATTTGATGAGTATCACTGATCAGTGTGTAGATGGTTTACACTTTTTAAGGCTTCTCTTCCAAGTGTTATAGCTGGAAATGCTTTAAAAGGATTCTTAAATTTTAAAATTATTAGTGTAGAAAGCTGCGTAGCAGTTTTGAAATAGACTCTTTAGGTAGCTTTTGACACATTAAGCCATTAGAGAACTGCAACAGTGGTTTGAAAATACAGGGAGTTCTTTTGGTGGCTTTTTTTGCACATTTTTCATTAAGTTTTAGAGCTTCAAAAATGATGAATTATGTAGTAAGAATCTATATTCCCCAAGACAAATACATAAGACTGTGATTAAGGACATAAAGTAATACAGTTGCCTTCACAGCAGGAGTTGTTCCTGCCACCAGCTGAAGAAATTGGCTCTTGTGTAGGGATGAGAGTGCTGTTTCTATAGCCTATTTTTCAAGCTTCTACAAAGTTAGAAAAGTAGAGAAGTTTTGTTTTGATTGCTTGCCATGAATGAAAAACTGTCGGGTCTCTGGGTGCTATAAATGTAACTATAAAATAATATAGAAGTAATGAATTGTTTTTATTCTCACAGCATCACCCTTGGTGGATTTGGAGCAGATCGTTTCTATTTGGGCCAGTGGAGGGAAGGTCTGGGAAAACTCTTCAGCTTTGGTGGACTGGGAATATGGACACTGATTGACGTGCTGCTAATTGGCGTGGGCTATGTGGGACCTGCAGATGGCTCTCTTTATATTTAAATGTAGTTGTAGTTTCCAAGGGGAGTAATTGCTTGGAAAGGGCTCCCTATAGAAGTGTGTAGGAGTCTGAGCCCTTAAGATAGAATAAAGAACAGTTGTTCTTTCAGTGTGGATACATTTTAATGTACAGTATCTGTACTTAGTTTGCCTTTAAATAAGGTAAAACAAAAGGGTGGATCACTAAGTTGAAATTAATTTCCCTTCATTTATGGATGTGCTGTTCTTCTGAGAAAGGTTGATTACCAATATGTCAGTCGTTTTTTTTCCCATTGCATACCTGGGGAGGTTAATTTATTTGCCTGAGCTCACCACGCTCGATGATCTTCATCGCATCCATCTCTAGCTTTTGCTTCGTGACTGGTTGACTTAGAAGTGGGGCTTTAGATTAGATGGGGCAAGTAGATTGCTGAGGCTCAAAGCTAAATGCAAAATAACCGCAGTACCTTTGAGTTCCAGGACGGCTTTCTTTCGGTTGGGTTCGACCTGTGTCTGAGTGGAAATGCCTGCTTGGTGCCAGCCATCCTGCACGTCGACCTCCGGGCCGAGGCGTGGCGGTGCGGCCGCGGTGCCGTTCGGGCTGCGCAGCGCGCTGTGCCCGCAGCCCGGCCGCCGCTGCTGTCAGCCAGCCGCTTGAGCTCCGAGGGGCGGTGGTCGGGCGGTTGTTTCACTCAATAAACTTGATCTTGGAGCGGTAACTGAGTTTCGCGTCGGTTGCGCTTTCGTGAACGCGCCGCCCTGCGGGGCGCTGCGCCGTTACGGCCCCGCCCCGGCCCGCCCCCGCCACAGGGGCGCCGTCATGGCGGCGGAGCGGGAGCGGCGCTTCTACCGGCAGCTGCCCAAAGTGGTGAGCGGCTCCGGGCGGCTGCGCGGCCTCGGGAGGGGCCGGAGCCCTGCCTGGCGGCGGGCCGGGGGCTGGCACGGGGCGGCCGGGTTTTGTCCCACGTACTCGATTAATGGTGTGGGTCAGGGGGTTGAGTTGCGCCCTCGGTAAGTCTGCGGACGACGCCGCGCAGGGCGGAAGCGTCGGCCTGCCTGAGGTGAGGGCAGGAGCCGTACGGATCGATCCGGGAAGCTGGAACGCGGTGCTGAGACCAGCGGGTGGTGTTCGGCGAGAGCCGGGTCCTGCACCTCAGTCACAGCGACCCTGTGCATTGCGGGCTGGCAGAGTGGCTGGGAAGCCGTGTGGGAGAAAAGGGTCGGAGGTGTCGGCTGACAGCTGGCTGAGCGTGAGCCGGCAGTGTGCCCGGCTGGCCAAGAAGGCCGGTGGCATCCTGGCTTGTATTGGACACGGCGCGGCCAGCACGAGCTGGAGCTGATCGTCCCTCGTACACAGCAGCTCTGGTGAGGCTGCGTCTTGAATACTGGGCTCAGTATGTGTGAGAGATACTGAGGCCCTGAGTGTACGGGGAAGGCTGTGAAGGCTCTGGAACACAAGTGTTATGGGGAGCAGCTGTGGGAACTGGGATTGTTCAGTCTGGAGAAGAGGAGGTTGTGGTGAGGTGGAGATCAGTCTCTTCTCCCAAGTTAACAGTGATAGGATGAGAGGTGGTGGCCTTGAGTTGCACTCAGATTGGATATTAGGAAACATTTCTTCACAGAAAGAGTGGTGAGGCGCTGGCACAGGCTGCCCAGTTAGGTGTACAGTCATCATCCCTGGGGATGTTCAAGACAAGGGTAGATGTGGCACTGAGGGACGTGGTCTGGAGATGGGTTGGTGGTTGAACTGGTTGATCTTAGTGATCGTTCTAACGTTAATGATTTTGTGATTCTGATTCTTTTCCATACTCTGGGAGGTGCTGTGCATGTTGGCCTTCTGCTTTTATTTGCAGCTTCTGTAGTCTGTTCTCTCATTTAAAACAGTTGAGCTTGACCTTTATTTTCTTTATTCTGCCCTGTTTACCGTGAAGCTACCTTCAAGATGTGAAGTCTGTCCCTGATAACATGTGCTTCGTGTTCTGAAGGGTGTGTTTTAGTGCATCTGTGCTATCTCTGGGTGCATGCTGCTGCATCTTATCGGTGTTACAATTCTGGGCTTCCAAAACAGCCAGCAGCACGTAGTCCACACAGCTTGCACAGCAAAACCAAACTGCACACTCTGTGTGTGCTGATGCACCTTTTCAATAAGATACATCTTTCCAGATTTAAGTTTAATGTCCATTTGAACTCTGTGTTTTGCTTGGAAGACCATGAAACATGCACCTGGCTTGATATCCCAAAGTGAGGAGCAGCTGCAGCTTCTGCTGTTCTGCTGGAGTTGATTGAAGTGATGAGACCCCTTTTCCTCTGTCTGGGAATGTAGTGCTTTAGGAATCTGGAATGTAATAGGTTATAACATTAAAATCAAATTTTTGAAGAAGTTATGATTTCAATATTTTCCGATCAACGGCTTTGTTAAATACTTCACTAAATCTATCCCTGAGAAGAGTGGAATGCCAGGGGGTTCTTTGTAGCAAAGCTTGTGCACATATGTTTTGATTGAGTTTGGAGGGCTCTAGGGAATTGTTTCATACCTCAGCAGCCAAGAGACCATAAGACGGAGCAAAGATGGAGTGAGGAACAGAGTTGAGGGGCATGGGTTTGCACCCCTAAGTCAGGTTGCAATGAGAAAGGCAGAAATCAGTCACCAGCAGTGGAACGCAGTTAGTCCTGATGTGCTGTTAATGGTAGAGATTGTTGGCCAAGTACAGAGGTAATTGTTATTTGCAAACTTGGAGTGAAACAGTAATGCAGGATACATGAATGGTAATACAAAAATAGACATAGAAGCTGTCCTTCTCACTTAAACATCCACAATGTATTTCTGCCCTCCTAGGAACTTCATGCTCACTTGAATGGCTGTATCAGTTCTTCTACTATGAAGAAACTTATAGCACAGAAACCATACCTTCAGATCCAGAATGGAATGACTGTGATTGACAAAGGAAAGAAAAGAACCTTAGATGAGTGAGTAAACATGCATGAGATCAACATTTACCATGTACTATTTAATTAAGTTGCAAACTTAATTATGACCTTATATACTGACTGCAGAAATATATGTAAATTTCAGCTTAGTAGAAACTTTTGGATTTTGTTTTCTAGTTGTACCTATAAAGTCATTTCTTAAATATTTGGAAAGAAAATGGAAATCTCACGTTGACATTAATAATTTCTGTTGCAAATGTGTTAACTTCTGAAATCAGAAGTGGCCCTTAAAATGGTCTTGGTTACCCTACAAACAAAATCCAATGTGTGTTTTAAGCTACAGGTGGTTAATTAATATCGTACAAGTTTTCACAGTATAGATTTTTATATGAATGCCCAATTTACAGCTCAGTGTTTATTTTCTGACTTGTTATTTTAGATGTTTTCAGATGTTTCAGATCATCTATCAGATTACAACAAGGACTGAAGATATTTTACTGGTAAGTTGGTTAAAACAGTTTCAGACAAGCAAGTGACATGCAAAGTCAAGGTTGGTTGAATTCTGAATAACAATGGTATTGACAAAGGTCCCTTCAAATTACTAGTGTAAAACACATTAATTTGGAAATAGACGATTAAAATAATTTGTCCATTTAATATTTTTTAAAGCAACGAGGTTCCAATATGGTGGTCCTTATTACTACTCAGACACTTGGACTGGTAGTGTCTTTAAAAATATGATGTCTCTTCCTCAGTAGCAAAGCTTCATTTTATTATAGTCTCTTGTTTCTTCTTTGTCTCATTTATGTACTCAAGCTACAGAACTCGAATTGTCTTTTGCTTGCCTCAGATTACAAAATTAACAAGAAGAATGGTTGTGTGATCACTACAGGGAGAATAAAGTGATTTAGTGTCGTCTTTTCTTCATACAAAAGGATTTTTAGGTGGCCTGTTAAATTACAGAAAGATACAGGAGCTGTGAAAGGGTTTGGAAGTGCACCAGATGAGGAGTGTTCTCATTCAGACAGGGAAATGCTTGTTTGTCATAACCCTCTCTAGTATATATATGGGAAATGAAGGTACTTCCATGGGGAGTATTTCCAAGGTCAGAGAGCTGGAAACACGTCCTGAAAACTTTTAAATGTTCTATCCCAAAAGGTAATTGGGTCTCATTTAGTTGTAAAAGAAAGTGTAAGCCATTATAACTATTATTTTAGTGATGTTGAGTACACTGTTTCTTAACTAGATAACTAAGGATATTGTTAAAGAATTTGCTGATGATGGTGTCAAATATCTGGAATTAAGGAGCACTCCTCGAGAAGAAAATTCCACAGGTATAGTCTGTCCTAGTTGTTAAGTCTTAAGTCTGATGTTCTTTAAAACTTAGTTAAGACTGTGTTAATAACAAGGCAAGTTAAATTCAGTTGGATCAAATAAAATATACTTTAAATATAAAAGTAAAACGTAGTGATGTAAACATATAATTTTACTGTTTACTGTAAGATTTTTGAGGAAAAAAAAAGATGTGTTGGTTATGATTCCATTATCCAAGAATTTGACTTACTGACTTTAGTAGGACATTTGAGTGTGCTAACATTTTCAGTAGCTGATGCATTTTATTTTTATTACTCCATCTCTTTTAAATGTTATTTAATAGAAAGGCATAAGAAAATTGCTTTTGCTACATTCTGATTCATAATGTTATCTTATTTCTCTGAGATGCTTAGAAGGAGGCTAATTAGTACTATGTAAATTAGAAAAAGATGGAGAAAAATCAGAGGTGCAAAATGAGCAATGAGGTGAGAGAGCTGGGTCTGCAGTGTAATAAAATTATTTCAAATGTGTTGATTCCAAATGTGTACATGTGTTTGTAGGTATGACCAAAAGGATGTATGTTGAAACTGTACTTGAGGGTATAAAGCAGTGTAAAGAAGAAGGCTTGGATATAGATGTAAGGTAAATGAGCCCATGGAGTGCCTCTGTTCAAGGTTTTGTTTAATCTGATGCTCAATCATGGATTGCAGAGAAGTTTACAAAAGAGTATGGAAAAGAAAACTGTCTAAATCAGATAAAATATATCTGTATAATTTTTAATTAGCATGTTGTTTGACTAATACAATCTTTTTTTACAGAAAGTCACCTTTGTAATGGAATAGAAAGATATTTTATATGCAAATTTAATTTTTCATCTTCATTTTTACTGATAGAGAATGAAACTGGGTCAACTTTTCTGCTTTAAAACTGCTCATTCTCTGCAGTATTTCCAGGAAAGGCAGTGTTTTGAAGAAAATGCATTAGAGACTCTTTTTCAGAGCCTACATTCTTTGCAGATGCTTTTGCTGGATTAGCTCTACAAGCAGCCTGCAGTAAAGGAGAGGTAGTTAAAAGGATCAGAAAGGTTTTAGAAGGTGTCAGTTGTTGCTTATGGACAATGAATCTATGTGTCTATATAAAAGATTCTCAATAGCAACCTGTTAGATTTGTTTGTGAAAGTTGAAGGTTTCTTATTTTTCATGTGTGCCTCTCTAAGAGGTTGCCCTCCCAGTACTGCAGGCAGCAAAAGAGCAGTATATTATATTGTTCCCTGCCCTCCCTCTCTTCATGGCTACTGCATTTCTCAAGCTATTGTATTTATCCAGTTGATGTTCCTCTGTGCTTTAGTACCTTCATTCTTTGCGTAGTTTGCTGTGCAAATGCTCTCTGTTGTCACCCACGAAGGAGGTGAAGTGCTGTTTGTGTTGGTGTGAGATTTGTTGGTCTCCTGGTACTATGGCTTGTGTCTTACTGAACTTGTACATTTCTCTCCAAGATTATTAATAGCAATAAATAGAAGAGATGGCCCAACAGTTGCTAAGCAGACTGTTAAACTTGCTGAAGAATTCTTTCTTTCCACTGATGGGGTTGTAGTAGGACTTGACCTCAGTGGCGATCCAAATGTAAGTTTTTGTTTTCACTTTGCTCTGTCCTTGAAGAAGAGTAATTAATGTTGTGTAGCAGAAGAAAGTTCCAAAAATACTTTGTTCTTTTAAGATTTTGCCTTCCTTTTGTTGCTTGTTTGAATTAATTACTCATAGTTTTGATACCATGTTAATCCCTGTTGCTGGAAGGGAAAGGCACTCTTAATAAAGGATCAAAAGATTATAATGCTGAAAGAAGTCACTGGAAAGCAGTGTTTATCTGGGAAGTGTCTCTTACTGAATTGTCCTAGTAGATTGGCTGGGTTGAGGTGAATTAAATACTACAGCAAATCTGCATAAGTATAAATTTTGATTAGTTGCCAAGAACCAAATGGTCTTTCAGTATTAAGAAAGCAAGAGTATTTGAGGATAGCTGTTGAATTGAAATGAAATAGCTCTAGGTGATAGTTACTGAAAGGGTGTCAAAGTCAAGATGTGTGAGTGATCAGTGTTGGGCATCACTTGAACTACTGAGGTGTAGCTTATTTGTCAAAATTGCAGCTGTATCACAGAATGTTATCTGCTGTACTGTCATCTAAAGTGGAGTAGTGGCAAAAGAAAAGCCAGTGTAACTGTAGTGGAGCTAAGTATTTTGATATTGCTAGACTTCTTAATCATATAATTAGAGAAGTCCAGTAAAACTAGATGTAGAATGATCATGCTTTTCTATCTTCAAGGCAGGGCATGGTCAAGATTTTTTTGAACCCCTCTCAGAAGCAAAAAAAGCAGGTCTGAAGCTGGCATTGCATCTTTCAGAGGTAAAAGTTTTCATTATTTTAGTCCACTCTAATTCCCATTTCATAAAAACCTTGATGAAGCTGACAGTAGCTTCTGTGGATTTTGAACTTTTCATGAGAAAGCAGTAATGTTTTGGGGCATTGTGACCAAAGAAAACAAAGGTAAATCTTCATCAATCAGTTCTGAGTAAAGAAACACTGTGACAGCCCCTAAACAAAGCAAAAACCCCAAACCAAATCACACAGTAATGTTTTCAGATAAGTATGTGGGAATATGTTTCTTACCATGTTATGCCTAGTGAAGGGGACAGGAAGGAGGGTAGGCATGAATTTGAAAATTAGAAATATTCCAGAAGATCCACTGTTATTTTTCTGGTAGAAATCATGTATAGTAAAAGTGGCATGTTTTCATGAGTGAAATTTCAATTTTGTTTTCATTCTGCTGATTTCAGTAGAATGAGTTGAACCTCTTCTTATGATCTGTTGAAGTGGTGGCTGATGTCTGCTCTGAGTCTGATGAATGCTGAAAATACTTCTATTTCTTTAGGAAATTAAGTGCGATAGATGTTGTCATACAATTGTTCATATTTCTCTATTTTATTGAGGAGCTTTTTGCAATGTATTCCCTTATCTGAAAACATATTACTGTGTGATTTGGTTTGGGGTTTTTGCTTTGTTTAGGGGCTGTCACAGTGTTTTTAACAACTGTGTATAAGAGATGTTGAAGGACACCTTGACAGGGTAGTTTTGAAACTGAAGAATGCAAAGCTGATTTGATGCCTCTGACTGAAAGTACTTAAAAATTTCAAATAGTGATTATATTTTACATACCCTTTTAAGATTATGGCTTCCTTGTTTAATAATTCAAATTTGACAGTCACTTTCATACCTTATTTCTTTCTTCAAAGGTTAGCAGTGCAGATATTTAGCCTCATTTACACTGTTTTGATTAGATATGCTATGAAAATAGGCTTGAGCTCAGTTGTGATCATTTATTATGTTATTTTATGCTGCTTTCGTGGAACGTAAAATACATCTTCCCTAGATTCCAAATCAAGAGGAGGAGACCAAAATTCTCCTGGGCCTGCCTCCTGACAGGATTGGACATGGAACGTTTCTCAACTCTGCAACAACTGGCTCAGAAGAATTAGTGCCACTTGTTAGGCAGAATCATATACCTATTGGTAAGGAAAGAAATCTCTTGTTATCTCTGAACTTAAGAATATCATGCTTACTGCTGATTCAATAACTCTGATTTGTCTTTGGTAGCACATGTATTTTTTACGTATTTGTGGCAGCAGACGACAATTGATGTCCCTGATGAAAACAAAATTAAATCATAACCCTTAGTTACTGTGAAGAGCTGTGTGGTGTTTGTGTGTGGTTTGCAAGGTCCCTATGTTCTACACACAGCCAGTAGTTAAGAAAAAAAAATGGCTATTGTGGGCTCATCAGTAGATCTTACAAAAATATTTGAAGCATTGAAAATTAAGAAAACAACACTTGATTTCAGTTTTCATTTAGAGTCAAAGCAAGCCCATTAATGTGTGGAAAGCATTTTTTAGTCTTATATTCTTGATTATTCTTTTTTTTTTTTTTTCCTTAGAACTTTGCATGACATCAAACATCAAAACTCAGACAGTGCCTTCTTGTGACAAACACCATTTTGGATACTGGTACAACATTGGCCACCCTGCCGTGCTTTGTGTAAGTTTTTTAACCAGGTTTTTAGACAGGGCAAAACTAGAGTCATATTGGAGTTTGTCTCCTTTTATGAATTAGAGCTGAGGTACTAACAGTTTCTGTCACTGCAGCCTATCATCTGCTTATAGCAAATCATAATATTCCATCAGATAAATGTTTGTAGTAGAAATTGGAATGCTTAATACTAATCTTTTTATTGAAAGCAGGACATTTTCCCTATGTAGATAAATATAATCAGCAAAGTATGCAATGACATTCTTAAATATTTTTATATTGACAGATTTTACTTAAGCAAGGGTTGAATCACTGTGTTTTTAAGTTTGTGCTTACATCCTAATTTATTATGTTGAATAAGGCTTCTCAGATTCTCTTGAATTCTCTCTCCACCTTACGACAGTGCCAAGTACATGGCAGGATTTTACACTCTACCATTCTGTTGGTTTACTCCTTAGAATTTGTAGCTTTGTGCAAGCACGTGTATTTTTAAGCATTATGCTTACCATTCAAACAAGCATCAGTCCTGTATTTTATTATATATCACTGAGTTTCAAAAATAGATCACAGTCAGATTATTTCTGGGATTTTGAATTGTGATAAGTCTGGATAAGCAGTGATGTCCTGTCAGATAGCAGTTTGCCCATGCATGCCAATAAAAAGAGCAGCAGAAAAAGAGGTACTATGGTCTCTTAAATTTAACAAAATAGAGTTAGCAGTCTTCTCTGAGGGGACACGAGGGCTCTAAATTAGAAATTTATAGCAATAAATAGGAAGTCTCATTAACACTTCAATAATCCTAACTTGTTTCTTTTGGATAGACAATCTTTAGACTGCTTTCAGTCATGTTTTTAAGATGCTGCCTTTACTACCTCAGTCTGTAGAAATTATTTGAGCTGACACTGTCAAAATGCAGAGGGTGAAACAGTTTCTTCCCTGAAGATCTAGGAACACAGAATTTAAGCTAGTTCCCAAATCTGAGAAAGAGAGAAATGTGGAGATGATGCGTGCAAACTATGTAAATACATGTATATTTGATGTGCTTAACAGGTCATCTTTCCAGCTATGTTTATAAGAAATAATATTTTCTGGGTAATTTATGTAATATGTTATAATTTATGTTTGAGAAGTTTTCTTGTGTGTTTGAGTAATTTATTAACTGCAAGTGAAAATAGGGCAAAGTAAGGATGATATGATACTTAATAGATGGAAGAAGTGGAGTAAAATGTGAAACACATCAAAGTAAAACTGTTCTGTAATGTGTAGTCAAAACCCTAAAACTAATAACTAATTTAAACTTTATTTTTCTTTTGATTTAACTCCAGACTGATGATAAAGGCGTATTTGCAACAGATTTGTCTCAAGAATATGAACTGGTTGCAAAAACATTTAATCTGACTCGATCGCAGATGTGGGATCTTTCCTATGAATCAATCAACTATATCTTTGCTTCAAATGTAGTGAAATCAAAGCTAAGGGAGCAGTGGTGTAAACTGAAGCCAACTCTGTTTGTTTAATCAAACAACTGCTCTAAACATCTTAGGTACATTAGCTTAATTAGTTGTTTTTTTTTTAATTGTTCTTTTTTTTTTTTTAAGACAAAAATCCTTGGTTTTAGCCTATTCCAGATGTTAGGCTTATAAATCTGGTCCACAAACCAAGCCATTGTAAAAAGAAGACAGACATGCATCCTTTGGTAGCAAGGACAAAAGTGAATGTCCTTTCGTAGTTGGGAAGGGCCCTAAATCAGTGACTAAAGTTTCAAATATATCATCATGCAGTGTCTCTCTACTTGATAGGACATTAAAAGATAATGAAGTACTTGAATGGAATACATTATCTTACTAGAAACACTGGGGACTGAGAATAAAGGTACAGTTGTTAGGGTTCAAAGGCTGTCTGTTGGCAGCATTATGCCAAGCCGTGGATATGGGTTGTGGATTTGTTTCTTTGTATTGTTTTCAAACAGAAGTTTTAAGCAATTAATTGAATGTGAAAACAACCTCAGGGAGAAGGAGGTATTTGTCTCAAGGGACTTGAATACTGCATCTACTTTTGTTGGCATACCTGTATGACTGAATCCTGCTGTGGGTTCTCCAGTGTAATGGGAGTGTCCATGGGTATACTCAATCCTGATAGTATTTAGACAAAGATTAGAATCTTGAAAGCCTTAGAAATGGTGACCTACCTGGAGGAAATTCTTGAAATGCTCTAATTTCTATCTGCTTATTGTAAAAAGCAATAAAAATATTTTGAGCGTACGTGTTTTCAGAACAACTCCATCGTGTGTGTGTGTGTGTGCATTTGAGATTTGTAGGACAGGAATGTGTCGCAGCGCAGCCTCTGTCTTCCCAGCAGCACCGTGTTTGTTCTGACAGCAGGGGGTGCTCGTTCATTCAGGCTGTTAACGAACCTGTGTACACCTGGGTATGTATTGGGATACTGAGCACTCGAAATATGTGTGAGCAACTGTGTGCAGCTATGTTACATACTATATTGCACATCCCTGGGGAGCGTATCTTTGGGAAGTATCCCAAAGAAAGATATTTTCTACACACACACACGCACAAAAAGGAATCCCACCAAGAGAGACTTGGGTAAGGGGAGAGCATCGGAGGTGTTCAAGAGTCAGTGCGTTTACATGAGGTTTTCACAGAATGTTTTTCAAGCACAAAAATATTCCTTTTAGAGACGGGGGAAAAGTTAAGTGAAGTAGAACTAATGCTTTGTATTTTGTTATCTGAACTCAGAGTAAGATCTCACCAGAGTTATCAAAACCACGTGCTTGCTTATTCAGAGGCAGTATCTTAAGTTACTGAAGTTACTGTTCAAATAGATTTGCTGGTTACATTATCTTGTGGTGCCTGCTGTTTGTCTGACTTGGTTCTTTCAAAGGAAATAGCTCCTATGGTACAAGGGTTTCTTCATTGTTTAAAAAAAAAAAAAAAAAAAGGAAAACCTGCAGCTCTCTGGCATGTTACAGTTAGATATATCTTAATCCCAGGATAAATGGACCTACGCTTATGTGACATAACACTATTGTAAGTTTTCTAATATTTTTGAGGTTACGGCTTCCTAATAACTCCTCTATAATGGTATTTGGTTTATTTGCAAAGGTAAACTGCCAACTAGAAGTTCACTTTACAGCTGTCATCTTTGTTTATTGTATATGTCGAGTGTAGGACTTCAAACACAAAATAGGATTTGTAATTAGTGTCTGGGATTCTAGTTTCAAACTTTAAGTGTTACACAGAATTGTCTGAGTTTTAACGTTCAGATGTTAAGTGTCACACATCTGTGTGCTCATTCCGAGAGAACAGCCCTGGTAAACATTACTGTATCCAGCTTTTCTTTCTCAAGCAAACATACAGTGCCTCTGAGAATTTTAACTTTATGAGATATTATGTACACTTTCCAGTATTTCCACTTAATTGATTTCTGGGTGTCTCCAAAACATTGCCTTGTATCAGTTGTAGACCTGATAAAAACAGGTTGGCACATGATGACATGTGAGTGCTGCACAGGTTCATAGTAACAGGTTATTAACGAAACAGGGCTGTTCTGGATACATAGTGAGATGATGCAGTTGTACATAATCTAGAATTAGAGAATCACTCATCTGAAGACTGTGTACTCACCTGTCTCTTAGATGCTTGCAGATATGCTGTTGATTTAACAAACAGAAGGAAAACAAAAAAAAAACAAAAGAAAAAACATAACCTTTTGTAATATATATATATAATATAGATTTATAACAAATAACGTGTATTTTACAATGCTTCTGCCAGTAAGCAAAGTCAGGAGTCAACTTGGAGGATTCCATTTGTGTGAAGTCAAAGGAAAATATTAGGAAAATACATTTGGGTGGCTGAACAATGATACACAGACCTGGTGGATTTCTGTAAATCAGTCTCTGGCAGAGTGTTACTGCAATTATTTACAGTGTGAAGTATTATCACTGAAATGATAGTAGGGGGGAGAGGGCACTTTACTGAATGCACTGTAAAATCTGAGTAAATATTTCTAGAATTTCTTATTTTTGAAGTGAAAGAAATAGATTTAGACTGAGTTAATATTTAGTTTATTTCCATCTGATTACATGAGATAAAACTTATAAAACAGTCTTCAATGCTCAGTGTTCACATCACAAGAAAACAAGCACTTTGGTCCTATTAAACAAGTGACTTGGGAGATATGTGCAAACAGAGCAACTGCTGACTGTAGCACATTTCTCAGAGTTAGAGATAAACCCAGAAAGTCTTCAAAACTTATGTTTGTTAGGATTTAGGAGGTGTTCATACCAAGCTTATTGTAATACAACTGCTGAATAGTAAACATTGACACACTGCTTTTCAGGTTTGCAAATAATGTAATTGTGTTAATGATCTTAGATGCCTGCTTCAATATTCAGGCATTTCAAACAAACACAGAAAAATTGCAGATAAGGGTACTGCAGAAGGTAAGTGCATAAATGGTTAAAGTACTGGAGCATCTCTCATATGAGAGGATGAGAGAGATGAAGCTGTTTAGACTGGAAAAGGCTCAGGGAGATATCAACAATGCATTTAAGTATCCAAGGGAAAGTAATGAAGATGTAGCCAGGCTCTCCCCAGTGTTATCTAGTAAAAAGAAAAGGGGCACAAACTGAACGCAGGAAATTCTATCTGAACATAAGGAAACAATTTTTATTTTATTGTGTGGGTGTTTGAACACTGGAATGGGTTATCCAGAGAGCTTGCAGATGCTCAGAACCCAACCATGGTGCTCAGTGACCTGATGCAGCTGACCCTGTTTGAACAGAAGAGGTGCACTGGATGATCTCCAGCGATGCCTTCCAATCTTAACTATTCTGTGATTCTGTGAAGTGACAATACAAATATACAAATGATAAAGTCTCCATATGAATATAAAATGTTTAAAAATTAAATACTGACTCAACTCAGTCACTTAAGTGACAGTCTTTCACCAGGCTTGAACAAAAGAACTCGACTGACTTGTGAAACTATTTTTTAAAGATGGATATATTCGTTCTTCATAGCTTTCCTTCTTTCACAGCCACTGTGGAATCCTTTAGTGCCATCAGGACCTCTAGGCAGCCGCAGCACCCCTACAGGGAGACCATCTGCATTTTGTATTTTCCGAGCTAACATGGGGCTACTGACTGGACTCTTCTCTTGTGTTATAGTTTGAGCTTTTCGTCTCTGTACCCAGGGACTACCAGAAGGTGTAATACTGCTATCTGAAGAATAATCTGTACATTTTCTTGGAATTTCAGGACTAGTACTTAGGTTAAGTTTGCCATCTTCAGCCAGTGGAGACTTTTTGGTCACTTTTCTTAGAGAGGATGGACTGTTCCAAGGGCTTGATCTGGGTGATACGTTAGGACTCAGATGGTTGTTTGGGTGAATGATGGGACTCAACTTACTTGTAGTACTTGTTGCAGTACTTCTGCGTCCTGACAGTGGTGATGTAGGATTACTCTCTGGTTCAGAAGAGCTATTTGCTGATGATTCATCACCAGTAAACTGAAGTTCCTCAACTCTCTTATTAAGGGATCTAACCTTTTTAAGACTCTTGCTATCTTCATCACGGTTCTTGTCTTTAGGGACTTTTTTCTTTGGAGGTTTCATGCCAATTAGGACAACTTTCATGCCAATCTCTTTCTTTTCAGCACACATGAATTCATGAGCCTGTACAGCAGCATCTACTTCTTCAAATTCTATAATTGCACATTCTTGCGTTCCCATTTGTGTATACCGACTGCTGAACCTCCTGATATCAGGTGGCAGATCCCTACCAGGCTTGAGAATACGAACTGATGAAATTACACCAAAAGTTACAAAAGCTTTGAGGAGATACTCCATTACTTTTTCTTGTATACATCCGTTTTCTTGTTTGTTAAGACCCTGCAGTTCAGAAATCATGTGGATATCATACACGAGTAACATCCTGGTAGGGAGGTTTTCACTTGGAAACACTGGGACTGGTGTATTTCTTCTAACCTTTCTGTTATCATCGTTGAGCTCAAGCATGTCTGAGTATTTCAGTGCATGGGCCGTGGTTCTCCAGTCACGGGTAAGGTGTTTCACCTTGAAGACAGACACAGTTTAAGCAGCACATCTGATCAAACCCACACAAACAACTCAGTGAATAACCAAGGCAGATGCAGGCTCCAGTCTACAGCCAAACCTAGATTTAAGTTACACATAGCAGACTTGAGCAAAAAAAAAAAAGTAGATTTCCCACTGCAATGGGCATGAGCAAGCTTCTAGAAAGCTCGTGTCCTATTAAAATAGGAACTGATACTAAACCTGATTGGAAAACATTACTTCAGTTTAAAGCCTACGGAAGTGATTCCACATCTAGGTCTAAACATGGCCAAAATGCGTGTTGTTTGGTGGTTTTGTCTGTGTACTACTTTTACAGGACTCTTTTTCATCCCTCAAAAACCTTTGCTAAAAAGAAAAAAAAGGTTCTCACAGAAGTTCTGCCTTTCCAAAGAGAAGTTTTTGAGAGTCTAACTGTTACCACTGAAATCTGTTTAAAGTGGTCTGAAGAAGCTCAGATTGCCTTAACTTCTGTAATGAATAGCTCCGCAAAGGTTTACAATCCCGACAAAGTATTTAAAATGTAATTTAAAAACTGTTACATGCACATACAAGGGAGTTCCTAATGTGAGACGAAAACAACCAAAGAACTATGAATAAAAACCACTCAACTTAAAGTTACTTTAATTGCTTGATAACCTCTAATACTTCTGTTTGTTTTTGGGTTCTCCATGCTTTTGCTAAGGCCCTTCTCAGAGACAATAAAGTAACTTCACCAGGATAACTGAGTTACTTGTGTAGCTGATCTGGAAATTGTTCTACTCAGGATTCCCTACTCCCCCCAGAAGGAGAATTCAACAGTGTAGTCCTGTAATTGCCTATGATTTCCCCAGGCAACCATGAAAAAGTTCATAAGTTAATGTCATAGATGAGAACAAACCTCACCATCACATCAAAACAGAGTTAAGTCCTCAGAGAGGCAGGTAAAGAGGAAGACTGTAGAACTGCCAATAGAAGTTCTTTTCATCCCTCCTATATATTTTTTAAAGCAAATTACTTTTAAGTTTTAAAAAGTTAACTTACTTTCTTAAAAGAAGTGAGGAGTTTAACACTGACATAGCCCATCTTATTTCTTCTCACATGCTTTAGAAGGAAGGCATCTTTCTCAAGGTTCTCATCTGAGAAGTAATATTCAATCTGTGCTATCAACTTCTGGATCAGGTCGTTTTCTGGTGGTTTCCAGTTCTGGTCTGAGTCGTCATCGTTTTCCCCACCACTGAAAAACAGTCAGATACTTTGATTAACAAGACTCCATCTCATATTAATAGAGTAAAAGAATGAAACAAAAAAAACCAAAGTGAAAATGAATACCCATAATGTCTATTCCAGCTTCTTTTATACGTAGGAACTAAATAGGTAGAGCCCTGTCCATCTGAGGCAGGAGGCTGGCTCAGATGATGCTTTCCAGTTAGCGTAACGAATCAAATTCCTGAGCTCATGCCAAAAGCTGATCTCAGTGTGGAACAATGACACATGTTTACTAGTGTCTTGAAAACACTGCCAGCTCAAATCTTACACCAAAACAAGAAATATGAGTGCACAGGAGCTTAGTCTTCATTGTGGCAGCACTTGGTTTTTCAGCGTGAAGGTGTTAACATTTCTGTGCTTCATGAGCATAACAGGGAATTCATATTCTAAACTGATGAAACCATATTTTTCTCAAGCATTTTCACTTTATGAATGCACTTGGTGTCAGCAGCCAGTATCCAGAGAGTAATGCAGACTGACAGGACCGCTGAACTTTTTACACAGGTCAATTCTACAGTGACAGAGTACCTTCACTGGCAGTTTACCAAGGGATTGGAGCTTTCCGTAGGTGTCAGATTAAGGACTGTGCTGTGGTAG